CAGGTGGCAAAACCACTGAGCTAAATCCCCGGCCCAAAAAAGGGAGATTTTTAATAATGATATCATAAAGCTTGACAGATTTTTTTTTTTTTTTTGGTACCGGGGATGGAACTCTGGTCCTTGTGCTCAAACTCTGGTCCTTGTGCTTGCCAGGCAGGTGGCGAGACCACTGAGATAAATCCCCGGCCCGATAGATCATTTTTAATGGTAATAAACTAGTTCCTGAGATTTGGTTAAAGAGAAAACTAGGTCAATCTAAGGAGAGTCCAAATGAAATAGTCCATAGGGATGTGGGTGTGGAACCAAAGACGCAGTAAATGAAACATTTTTTTTAAAGTGTAAAAGTAAAAAAGACAAACAAATTGCCAAACTATCTTGCATACCTTCTTGAAACAAATATAAATAGAGACATCCATATATGTTACAAAAGATAAGATACTAATTGATAATAATAATATCAGTTGAGAGTAACTTTTTGCTGAGATGGCAAGTAGTACTAATGAAAGATTGAAGCTATATTTACCATTTCCCCTCATTGCTCATACAACTTATTTATTTGAATCCATTTTTATGTAGATACAATTCAAATACCATACAACTCACCTTTTTAAATAAGTATACAATTTGGCAGGTGTTATCTTCACAAGGTTATGCAACCATCACATTATCTAATTCTAGAACATTTTTGTCACCACAGAAAGCATCCCGGGGGGCCGGGGATTTAGCTCAGTGGTTCCGGTGCCTGCCTCTCAAGCTAAAGGTCCCAAGTTCGATCTCTGGTACCAAAAAAAAAAAAACAGCCCAGGAATTGCTTACAGACACTCCTCATTCCTCTCCTCTATCCCCTGGTAACTATCTCCTTCCTGTTTCTATAGATTTGCCTATTCTGGACATTTCATATAAACTCAGTATTACAATATGTGAGTCCACTAAGCATAGGGTTTTTTTTAACTGTACCAAAATATATATAACAAAATTTACAATGTTAATCTTTTTTGTTTTTGTTTTTTTGGTACTAGGAATCAAACTCAGACCTTGCACCTATGAGGCAGGTGTTGGAACTACTGAGCTAAATCCCCAGCCTTTTTTTTTTTTTCTTTTTGAGACAGGGTCTCACTTTGTAGCTCAGGCTGGGCTTGAACTCACTATGTAGCCCAGGCCGGCCTTGAACTTGTGGGAGTCCTCTGTCTCTGCCTCCCAAGTGATGGGATTACAGAAGTACACCGCCATGCCTGGAGATTTTAATCATTTTTAAAGTGTATAATTCAGTAGTATTTAGTATATAATTGTATAAGCACTCTCCAGAACTTCTTTTTCTTTTTCTTTTTTAGTTGTGCATGCTAGGCAAGTTCTGAGCTACATCACCAGCCTACCTTTTGTTTCCATGAATTTGACTACTCTATTTCATATGAGTGGAATCATCCAGTACTGTATTTGGGGTTTTTTTTGTTGCTGTTTTTTTTCTTTTTTGGAGGACTGGCTTATTTCACGCAACACAATTTCCTCAAGGTTCGTTCATGTTGTAGCACGTGTCAGAATTTCTTCCTTTTAAGACTGTATGGATAGATCACATTTTGGTTACCCATTAGTCAGTCGACATACATTTGAGTTATTTCCACTTTTTGCCTATTGTGAATAATGTTGCCATAGAGATTCATATATGGTACAAGCTTTGCATGCAAATATATTTTCAATTCTCTTCTCCATATATGTAGGAGTAGAATTGCTAGGTCATATGGTAACTCTAGATTTAGCTTTTTTTTTTTTGGTACCGGGGATCGAACTTGGGTCCTTGTTCTTGCCAGGCAGGCAGTGGAACCACTGAGCTAAATCCCTGGCTAGATTTAGCTTTTTAAGGAACTGCCAAAATGTTTTTCACAGAGCTCAACATTCCACAGTGTCATCAACAATGTGTAAGGCTTCCAGGGTTCCCCCATCCTCACCCGTGCTTCTTATTTTCATTTTGTTGCCATAGTGGATGTGAAAAGGCATCTCATTCTAATTTAGACTTTAACTTTGGAATGTTTTAAATATTCAAAATAAGGAGGATGTCATGATTCTTTTCTTGTGCAACTAATATGATTCTTTTATAAAAGAAGTGCATTACTAACTTGTACTGGCATGTAAAGCACATAATACATCTAAGACTATAAGTATTCAAATAAGAATTATTCACTTAACCGTGCACTAAAGAGTTAAGTCAGAGATGGATTCAGACTGGGATAACTGATGATATTCTTCCTAGGAGGCAGAATGATAGGACAGTACAGATTTAAAACCTCCACAAGCTTAAAAGCCAATTAATTGTGTGTGTGTGTGTGTGTGTGTGTGTGTGTGTCCATGTGTGCCAGGGACCCAACCATCACATACCCTACCACTGAGCTACACCCTCTCAGCCCAAAATATAAAAATTTTGAAAGTTTCTCATGTTGCCAACGCTTGTGTTGAATACTTCATGTGTATCATTTCATTCAATCCTTAAAAAAACCCAAAAACCTATGCAGTAAGTTTTTGTTTTGTTTTGTTTTGGTTTTTGGTTTTTTGAGACAGGGTCTTACTATGTAGTTCACGCTGTCTTGAACTCTTGAACTCACTACATATCCCAAGCTTGCCCTGAACTCCCAGAGATCCTCCTGCCTCAGCCTCTTGAATGCTTTATTTATTTATTTTTTTGGTACCGGGGATCGAACTTGGGACCTTGCGCTTCTTGAGTGCTTTAAAGGCGTGTGCCACCATACCTGGCAATAAATTCTATTTTTATCTTTATTTCACAACTGAAAAAAAGCTAAGACTCAGAGAAGTAAAAAATTATGCAAATTTATTATGCAAATTTTTCTATTATGTGGTAGGACTGGGAATGAATCCAAACCTATTTTGAGTGTTTATTTTGGACTATACTATGCTACATCCCATGAATTTTCAGTGTTTTATTAATAAAATAATGAATTCTAAAAAATCTTTTATTTTTTCTGTACTGAGGATTAAACTGGGACTTTTGCACTGAGGTACATACTCAACCTTTTTTAATTTTTAATTTTTAATTTTTGAGACAGTGGGATCTTGCTAAGTTGTCCAGGCTGGGCACAAAATTGTGATCCTCCTGCCTCAGCCTCCATTGTGCTATGATTGCAGGCTTGGATCACCAGGCCTGAAAAAATCATAACAATTATTATTACCTCTAACTTTTATTAAATGGTCAATGGGTTTAAGGTACCGTGCTAGGCTTTCTTTTTTTTTTTGGTACTGGGGATCGAACTCGGGTCCTTGCGCATGCGCAGAAGGCGGCGAAACCACTGAGCTAAATCCCCGGCCCTGCTAGGCTTTCTATTTGCATTGTTTTATTTATTCCTTATAATAACGCTATGAGATAGGTACTATAATCATTCATATTTTACAGATGAGAAGACTGAGCTCAAGAAAACTCAGAAAAGAAAAAAAAGCAAAGAAAAAAAGAAACCTTCCCCAGGATAGTACAGTTGCCCCAACACCTGTAATGTTTTTATTTATTTTCCAAACAAGTTGGGTCCACTTTGTCCAGAATATTGGGTCCTCTTGAACGTTCAGGTTGGAGATCACATACCACCTCCTTATAGAAGTCTCTCATCCAAAGTAGCATTGTGTGCCCACCGGTACACAGAAGAATGAGTAAACAGAGGCATCTCATGGTCATGCTCACTCCCTAAAGTTGCTCCCCTCATCCCCAAAGCCCGGAATGATTTCCTCACCTGGATCAAGTCCTCTTTGACCCCCGAGGGTGCCACCTTCTCTGAACACATGAGCCGGTCTGTCCTCCCCTGACAAGCGGCTCCAGTCCTGATGTGATCTCTTCCTCTCACTCTCGCCTTTCAGTTCTCTGGGCTGGGTGGACAGAACTAAGACACAGTCCTCCCTCCACTTGCAGGGGAAGCAGATACATTCGTAGCCGACAAGGCCAACACAGGGGGAGAGCCACGGACCAGGGACACATGTGGCCACTGGGGCAGCACCCAGAGCAAAAATAAAGATACATGTGCAAGGTTGAGGGTTGGCTCAGTAGAGCGAAGCCAAGGAAGAGATGTGGCCTCGAACCGATCGAAATTCAACATCAACATTTTCTGAAAGGTGCACCGTGGTGCTGGTTTCAACTGCTGGCACCATCAAGCGGTGGTTATGTGACCTTGGGAAAATGGCACAACCTTCCAGCTCCAGTTTCCACCTAGGTAAAAATCCCACCCGTCTCAGGGCGTCATTGTGAGGATTAAAATGAAATACCTTAAGACCATAACGGTAAGGGAAATAAATCAGACATATAAGTTTAGATATGGCATGGTTTCTCTTATTCGAGAAATGCAAATTATAAATAAAGAGCAAAATAAAAGATAGACAACAGGAAGTAGGGAGACACTGTAGATCTTTCTCACATTGGAAGGGGATCAAGAGATGGAGGGTGGGGCTGGGGATTTAGCTCAGTGGTTCCGGCGCCTGCCTAGCAAGCGCAAGGTCCCGAGTTCAATCCCTGGTACCAAAAAAAAAAGAGAGAGAGAGAAATAGAGGGAGGAAGGAGAAAGGGGAGGGGAAGGAGATGAAAAGGGAGAAATAAGGTGTGTTATATACATGTACCAATTCTATACAGAGAATGTAAACTTTATATGCTGCAAACATGTACTAATAAAAAATAAATGAACAAAATACAAAAAATGAAATAATGTGTGCACAGTGGTTAGCTCTATTTCTGGCATATAATATACAGTTAGTAAATGGTACTTCTAATTATTATTTTGTCGTTTTGGGGGCAGGGTCTCTCTATGTGGTTCAGGCTGGTCTTGAACTCACCATGTAGCCCAGGCTGGCTTTGAACTCCCAGTTATCCTCCTGCCTCAGTCTCCTGAGAGCTGGGATTAGTAGGCACGTACCATCATACCCTGTTAGGGTAGTTTCAATTGGCATGACAGTGAAGTTCCCTCTGCCTTAATCCTTACTCAAAAAAGGTAACCTAATGTTAAGTAACAAGTTGTTTTTCTTTGCTCTGTCTCCCTGTCCATGCTTTAGAAGAAAGTAATTTTGAAATACCAGTCTGCTTTTCATATCTTGTTTGTACTTTCTTTAGCCTATTTCTGTCTATAAAATCAACCTCCTTTTCTTGGTCATTGGAAAACTTATTCTATTTGGTGGAATGAAGTGTGGCTCCATTCTAGTATCAAAAATAAAGCCAAATTTGTTTGTTGATTTATTTATTTTAGATTGTTTTGAGACAGAGTCTTGCTGTGTAATCCAGGCTAGCCTAGAACTCACTGTGTAGTCCATGCTGGCCTCAAATTTGCACCAATCCTCCTGCCTCTGCCTCCCGAGTGCTGGGATCACAGGTGTGGGCCACTACACCCGGCTCAGCTAAAAACCTTGATAGAACATTAGACAGCTGTTAAATTGTGAAACTGTCTGGTTAAATTGCAGATACACATAGCACTAGACTGGCTAGGCGTGGTGGCCCACACCTGTAATCCCTGCTGTTTAGGAGGTTGGGGCAAGAGCATCAAGAGTTCGAGGCCAGCTTGGACAATTTAGGGAGACATTCTCTTCAAAGGGCTGGGGACGTGGGCTGGGGATTTAGCTCAGTGGTTTTGCCGCCTGCTGCGCAAGCACAAGGACCTGAGCTCGATCCCCGGTACCAAAAAAAACCCAACAAAACTCCTATACTTTCTGGGCCGGGGATTTAGCTCAGTGGTTCCGACGCCTGCCTCAAAAGCGCAAGGTCCCGAGTTCGATCCCCAGTATCAAAAAAAAAAAAAAAAAGACAAAGGGCTGGGGACATAGCTCAATGACAGAGCACTTGCCTATCCATAAGGCCCTGGGTTCAATCCTCAGCAGCACAAAAAATAAAAAATAAAAAGCACTAGTCAAATCAAACAAACAAACAAGAAACAAAAAGCATTAGACAAAATTATGTACCTGGTGTGAGGTTGGCTATGTAAATGCCCTGACAGGCCTATGTAGCCCTTGGGCTTAAATTAGGTCACGCTAACTTCATACCCAAATCTTACTGCCTCATTGCCCCCACCTGCTCCAGCAGACTTCTGCTATGGCCCTGGGGGGCCCCAAGTATTCATAAAATGTCTGTACTTCATAAGTATGGTTCTTTTATTTTTTCAGTACTGGGGACTGAACCCAGGGCCTTCTCTCTGAGCTACATCCTCAGCCCTGGTTTTATCTTCTGTTTTGATAAAGGATCTCCCTAAATTGCTAAATTGCCCAAGCTAGGTTTGTGATTCTACAAACTACAAAGCACACCTCCTAGTAGGGTGACCAATTTTCTGGTTTGTCTGAGATGCAGGATTTTCAGTGCGCAAACTAGGAAAGTCCTTGGCAAATGGAGATTACATGGACACGCCATCTCACTGTGCAGGCCACTTCCAAAGCTGCAAACTTGCTGCTGTCCAAATGGGGTTTATCTTCTCAATGGGAGCCAAGCAGTATTCCTTCCTAAACAAGGGTGGTAGCCAGAATATTCAAGTTTAAATTCAGGGGACTTTGATTCCTACTACCAAAGAAGTGAGAACAGTGATATAAGGTTGAAACAAATAATTGGAGCATGGGTTTAGACAAGAGATGCTGGTTTGGGAGCACACTGAGGAGGAACCGGAGCATACATGAGAATGGATGAGATAGTCCACAAGACCTGTGAGCAGGACAGAAGCAGACAGACAATGACATTTGTGCCAACAGTCAGAAGTAAAGGAGTCCACAAAAGAAACTGGAGGGAGCTGGGCGTGGTAGCGCACACCTGTGATCTCAGCACTTGGGAGGCTGAGGCAGGAGGACTGCTGCAAGTTCAAGGCTAGCCTGGGCTACATAATAAGACTCTGTCTCAAACAAACAAACAGGAAACAAAACCACAAACAAACAAAAACCTTAAGGGAGTGATCAAAGACATAGGAGGGAAACCAGGATTTGAGGTGTGCAAGTTATTGGGGCATGGTTTCCACAATCTACCCTTGGTTTCCGGCTTGGCTTTGCCTTTCCCCATTGCCAGGATTGCTGCCAATTAATCACTCCCTGTCTCGTCAAATAGACTGCTTTTCCTCTTCTTCCAGTGCCCCAAATGCAGGTGATGCTCCAGAGTCTGCATGAGGTGCTCTTTCTCTCTCTGCACTGTCTTCTTTACTATTTCAATTAGTCTACCTGGTCACCATTTTCATCTCAAAAATGAGGCTAATTCCTAGGTTATACCCCCTGCCTCAGTATTTCTAGAGCTTCAGTCCATACTTGAAACCATCTCCAGGACATTTCTATCTCATCCTCCCATTCACCAGCCAAATCAAGCCGATCTCCACCAAAGCCCTGCAGGGTCATAACCCGGATGCTAATTAGCACTGCAGGCCCCTCCAAGATGATCTCATCCAGATGCTGCAGTCAGTGATCTGCAGCGGCCACCAGTGCCCAGCGGAGGAGAGGTGCGGGGGTGGGGGTGGGGGGTGGGGAATGCGTCCATCCTCCATACCCGCAGGGTGGGTGCAGCCTCTGGGCCAGGCTGCTCACTACGACCACATTCTCTGACAGGTTACGGAGCAGGGCTGATAGTGAGAGGAGGCCAGCATTTCCTCCAGGTGCACAGCATGTGGTTGCCTGCACAGATGAGGGGGCCATGCAGATGCTGGGAGTTCGGGACCCAGCGCCCCAGCACTCCAACGCGCAGGGAGATGTAAGGGCACCTTCGTGAGTGAGTGTGTGTGATGGGGGTTCTGGTACAGGCACCTCAGAAACTATCTTTTCTTTGCACACTTTTATATTGGATAGTTTTGTCTCTTTGTGGTGATGCAACACTAGTGATATCCAAATTGGGAGATGATGATTCTGACCATCAATGAAAACTTCATCACTTTTGAAATACTAGCTATAAGAGAGTTTGATTGGATCTAAAATTCTAAGAATATTTTTTGTCAGTGAAAAAAAATAGAGGATTGAATATAATTTAAATTTAATTTTTACTGTTGTAAATATTTGAAAGGTTATAAAGATGATTTAGAGTTTTATTCTTATCACCTACTATTCCAACTAGTTTCTTGTCATTTAGAAAGATCACTGTTAAAAAGTGTTGAGCAGAACTTAAATGAGCTATTTAAATCATACAGTTGAGAATAAAAAATTAGGTACATGGATTCGAGTTCAAATTTCACTTTTTTGGGACAGGTCTTGCTATGTAGCCCAGGCTGGCTTTGAATTCGTGTTCACTCACTGAGGCAGTGATTCTTCTGCCTCAGCCTCCTGAGTGCTGGGATTACAGGCATGTGCTATCACGATTGGCCAAATTTCAGATTTAAAGCAGCTTTTGGGAGAAAATGTCTTAGATTCTTTTTTAAAAAATTTTTTGGTACCGGAGATCGAACTCAGGTCCTTGCACTTGCGCAGCAGGCGATGAAACCACTCAGCTAAATGCCTGGCCCTATCTCATTTTCAAAGGGACCTGAACCTTGCTAATGTTGAGCCACCATACAGAGCAGAAGGTTCTTCAGTGGGTACAGACTCCAGACAAGGAGCTCTGCTGACCAACCTTGTGACTCAATGTACCCAATAGTGTGTGTACAGCCACATGTTGGGATGTTGTACAGAGCTATGACAAACCTCAGAAGCGACAGCATTACAGATGTGCTTAGGGCTTTGGAACAAAGCCTTGGTTTCTCTTTGGCTAATAACTAATCTTCCTTTTGGAAACTGCTCTTATTTTGCCCCTGAAAGCAGACACTGAAACCCAGGTGACCACATATCTGTGTGGCTTATCAGGGACTGAGTGTCTGTGCCACTGAGCCACAGTGCCCAGATAGGCACAGAGTATGTAAGGAGAGGCCCTCTTACTCCCATCCCATTCCCACTGCTCCCTCAGCTCATGGCATGGCCTTATGCACAGCTCCCCACGACCAGGAGACTAAAGAGGACAGCATCTGATTTACAGAGGGTGCTGGTAAGACAGAGCATAATTGTACTTTGGACTGGTCTTGAAGCACAGTGGCAAAAAGAAATCTTCCCAATGGGCAGAGCACTCTCTCTCTCTCTCTCTCTCTCTCCCCAGAAGATCAAACTCAGGGCCTTTACACTGAGCTACATCCCCAACCCTTCATTTATTTATTTATTTATCTATTTGTTTTTGTTTTGAGACAGAGTTTTACTACGTAATTCAGGCTGGTCTTCCACTTACTATATAGCCCAGCCCGGCCTTGAACTCATGGCAATCCTCCAGCCTCAGCTTCCTGAGTGCTGGGATTACAAGTATGCACCACCATGCCTGTTTTTTTTTCTTTTTTAAAATTTTGAGACAAGGTCTCATGAAATTGCACAGGTGTCCAGACTGGGCTCAAACTTGTGATTCTCCTACGTCAGATTCCCAGAGGGCTGTGATCACAGGCCTGAACCACCATCCCAGTTTCTTATTTGTCATAAGAAAGACTCTACCAGGGCTAGGGATTTAGCTTGGTGGTTTCACTGCCTGCTGTGCAAGTGCAAGGACCTGAGTTCAATCCCCGGTACAAAAAAAAAAAAAAAGAAAGAAAGAAAAAGAAAGAAAGTGGGTTCCATGAGGCTCTGGACAGCTACTAATGTGTCATAGATCATAGACGTAAGCTTTTGACATCTTCATGTGATGTTCAGTGATACTTTTCATGATGTGATCACACAGTACCGTGCAGGGACAATGAACACTGTATAGGGTGGGCACAGTGCAGGGCTAGCTCCGCCTCCTATGTGCCAACCAGTTTATGTTACCCTCTTTTTCTTTTACTATAATAATATATAAAGAGGAAGTTTTGTTACTTACATGCATAACTACATTATGTATTTCAATATGTGGTCTGATCTAAGGCAATTCCTCTTTACTCAGTGTGGCCCAGGTAAGCTGAAAGTCTGGACATCCATGCTCTCTACTGATTCATGTGGCAGGGGTCATAAATTGGTGGCTAAGGGGTTTGAGAAGGAAGATGTGGAGGAACAGCTCAGGGTAGACCTAGAAATTGAGAGTATTTGTGCCCCATATGAACGTTTTGCTAAGGAAGCTTTAGAAGCAAGGAGACAAGAGGCATTGCTGGACCTGAGTGAAGTTCCTCCCCTCATCAGGACAGCGCCTACCTACTGAGGTTACCAAGTAAGTGACAGAGAGGCCAGACCCGAGGTGCTGAAGGGCTCATCATGGCATCCTCCTGCAAGGCTAACCTGGCTTGCCACTGTTGAGTGGCCATTTTAGAAGGAAATATTATAATGGACTTTAAAAATTTTTTGTAGCCACCTAGTTTTTATTTCTTCAATCAACACTGAGGTTCTACCACGCACATGTAAGACAAGGTCCCTGTTGTCAAAAAAAGTAAACAAACAAAAAACCCAACTCTAATAAAAATAAAAAAGTGGAAATACGGGGTAGCAAGGATATTTCACAATTCCCTATGCTTCCTGTCTATCATCAGCTATTTTTTTGGCTATTTCTTTTCATTTTAATTTTTTAAATTTAATTTCATCCCATTCCCCCCTCAGGTCCCCTCCTCTCCCTGTGTACAAAAGCTTTGTTCCATTTTTCCTTCTATTTTCACTTTTTTTCTTGTCCTTTCCTTCCTTTCTCCCTTCCTCCTCCCTTGTTCCCCTTCCCATTTGAACACTTTCTTCCCATTTCCCAACATCCATTATACATATGATGAGCTCTTTTTACCGCAGTGGGGCAGCCCACACCACCATACCAGGTTTGGATCTGGCTTTCCCACCAGCCATGCTTTTCCCAGCATCACCCTGTGGGTTTACTGAACATCTAGTTTAACAACATGGTCTCTTATACACAGGGACATCTTCCTAAGGAACTGACCTCACAGGAAAGGAAGCCAAAGGGTCTCCTTGGATTCGCTAACCGAGCTCACACCCCAGCAACAGGAGGGGTGCGCCTCTGGGAAGAGCAGGGCGAGGCTGCTGAGCCAGATGGAAGGCAACAGCACGAGAGCTGGGATTCCGTTTCTACTTAGAAGCAGCAGTCTAGAGATGTCTGGATTCTTCTCATGAGTTCCTTTTCTGATTAAATAAGGCAGTCAGTTCTGTTGCTTGCAACTAAAAATTCTAAGTAATATGAAACACTTCTCTCATTGTGCCATCTATTGGTTGGTTGCTTGGTTTTGTTTCTGGTAAACAGATTTCCTTCACCATGAGTTTGTAAACTTTGCAGTTTGTCCTCATTTCTAATATTTCAGTGTTTCATACTATACATAGCACTGTAGTATACATAGTGGGGTGTGTGTGTGATGTATTTGTAGGCTCTAGACTATATCTGTACTGCAGTTGTTTTTTGGGGTTTTTTTTTTTTTTTTTGAGACAGGGTCTCATGTAGGTCAGGCTGGCCTTGAACTCACTACATAGTCCAGGCTGGCCTGGACTCAAACTCAGTGATACTCCTGCCTCAGCCTCCTGAGTGCTGAGATTACAGGCATGTGCCACCAGGCCTGGCAAGTACCACAGATATTTTCATCAATCTGAAGTGTTTTTCAAAAACTTAGTAACCGACATTTAAAGATTAAGAGATTTCATTTGAAATCTACATTTCCACATTTTCTTGAAAAATTTGAAGATGTTAGATCTGCATTTCTATAGCTCCCCTCTTTTTTTTTTTGGTATCAGGGATTAAACTCAGGACCTTGTTCTTGTGAGGCAGTCTCGGTGCCACTGAGCTAAATCCCTAGCCCAATAGGTCCCCTCTTTAAACAAAATGTAGGGACTGTTTTGGGCCAAAATTGTCATCTTGTTCACTTTCATTACTTACCTGGTCCTTGTAGGTATGTAAGTTTGTCAGCTTTGGTACTCAACTGACTTACAGTGAATAAATAGATTTAGCAATTAGTTGCCCCCCCCCCGCGCCTTCCCTTCTGAGACAGGGTCTCACTATGAAGTTCTGGCCTCTAATTCACTATGCAGTCCAGGGTGGCTTCAAACTCCTGGTGATCCTCTTGCCTCAGCCTCCCAAATGCTGAGATTGCAGGCACATGCCATGACACCCGGCAACTGTCTTTCCTTGTTTTTAAAATTTTAGTAGTGCTTATTAGTTATCCAGAATAGTGGGTTTCATTTGGCATATTTGTATATGTATATAACATACTTTGCCCTCCATCCTCTCCCTTCCCCCAGGCAATTAGTATTTTATTTATTTATTTATTTTGGTACCAGGGATCGAATTCAGGACCTTGTGCTTTTGTGCTTTCGAGGCAGGCAGTGGCACCAGTGAGCTTAATCCCCTGCCCAGTATTTTATTTTTTTGAGACAAGTTATCTCTAAGTAGTTCAGGCTTACCTCTAATTTACTATGTAGCCCAGGCTGGCTTTCAGCTCCCAGGGATCCTCCTGCCTCAACCTCCAGAGTGCTGGGATTTCAGGGATGTGCCACTATGCCCAGTTTTTTGTTTTTTTTCTTTTTTCCCCCAGCTTGTTTTTTGAGACAGAATCTGGCAGGGATCCTCCTGCCTCAGCACACTCCCATCTCTCTTCTAGAATGCTGGGATTACAGGCGTGTGCCACCAAGCCCAGTGTAATCCCTTTTTTCCCTAAAATGCTGGGATCAAACCCAGGGCCTCAAGCATCCTACCACTGAGCTCCATCTTCAGCCATTTTAATTTTGATTTCACATATATGTTCTATTCTAACTAGAGTGCAAAAAGCCATTTTTGTCCTATTATTTTTCTTTCAATTATTTTGGCTGTCACATACCTCAGTAAATATTGATATATGTTTATAAACCTTTCTCTTATCTCTAGAGCTAACCTTGGCCACTCTGGGTTGAGTCCCTCGTTTGGTGTGTGTACCTGCAATCTCGTTATCACTATTAGTCCTTGGGCCAAGCTGAGAGACTAGTCAGGTAAATAAAGTTACTTCCCGCAACGCAGAGGCTCGGAAGTGGATTTGAGGCGGGGAGGCATCTTCTCCACTGCAGAGGAGGAAGGCTGGTTCTCGCAGGAGCGCTGGCGCCCTAGGCGGGACCGTGGGGAAGGTGCGGCTGGGCGGCTGGATCCCGGAATCTGTCCGAGGCTTTCCGGGTGCGGACTCCGAGCAGCGAGCGCCCGCCGGAGTGATCCTCCTTCCCGGCCTGGCGCCCTGGGGTGTGCTCCTGGCAGTCCCCGAGAAGTGGTCCTTGGGATCAATTTCATGAGTCCCTGAAACCAAGCTTTCAAAGTTTTACATTTCTGGGGGTCCGCCTCCCCGCCTCACAGCTCATTTCCTTCTGCCGCTGCCCAGCGCCCCCATCGCTCGGGTCGCCTCTTTCCGCATCAGTTTCCCCAGGGGACCGGGGGTGACATCTGGGGACTCCCGAGCCCTCCAGTCCCAGTCGGAGACGGGGAGAGGTAGGGAGGAGGCTGGCGCCCAGCCAAGGCTTTCGCGCCCTGAAGCTCCAGTCTGGGGACCAGTGGCCCGTGACCCCGGCTCCCCGCCCCGGCTCGGTGCTCCCGCGCGCCCCCTAGCGGCCGCCTCGTGGCCTCGCTCCGTCCCAGGCTCGTCGGCGGCGCAGCTCACGTGACTGCGCTCGGGGCCTGCGGCCGCTGTCGATTCCCCCAGTCACCGAGCGAGAGGGAAGAAACAAGATGGCGGCTGAAGGCGATCCGGAGTGGGGCCCCAGCAATTCGGACTGAGCCTTCTCCCTCCACCCGCTTCCGCCGGCCGGGCCCC